GTAGTAGTAGTAGTAGTAGTAGTAGTAGTAGTAGTAGTAGTAGTAGTAGTAGTAGTAGTAGTGGTAGTGGTAGTGGTAGTGATAGTAGTAGTAGTAGTCGTAGACGTGGTGGTAGTGGTAGTCGTAGTCGTAGTAGGCCACGAGGCGTCCCAGACGCTCCAAGCGGGGTCCACCAGGGCCCCCAAGATAGCGAAATGCCAAAATCGACCAAATCTTTTCGGGAAGTGACGTTTTCGGAACAGGTGTCCTTTCCGTCTCAACAGCGCTCCAGCAGGACATCGAGGACCCATGACAGCGTCCGAAGCCTTCATGAGAGCCCCATGGACGGCCCAACACGGCCCCAGAACGGCACAAAAAGCGCCCAAGATTGCCCAAAAGGACTTCTCGAAGGCTCCAAGAGCGGCGCAGGACGGCCCACGACGGTCCCCAAGCGCCCCCCGAGGCGCCCCAGAGAGCCTCAGTCGTTCACCAGACGGCCCAAGTGCCCAAGGCGGCGCATGAGGGCCGAAAGAAACCCAACCCCCTACGCAGATTCCAAAAACAAGATCCGAGAGGCCAACATGATCCCAATCCCCCCGGAAGGCATACCTGTTTGCAAGTTTGTCTTTTCCGTTCTTACAAACGTTCCAGCAGGCATTCCAGGATCACGAAATTCCCCCAAGACAGCCTCCGAGGCCGCCATGAGAGCTCCAGCCCGGTCCAAGACGTCCACGGGACGGCCCACGAGGCGCCCAAGACGGTCCACGATCGTCGTAAGAGGGGGAACCCGAAGTGACCTGTCGCGCCATCCGCCCCAAGATGGCCCCCGAGACCACCAGCAGGCCCCCAAGAGGCCCCGCAGCAGCCCCAGAAGGCAGGAGGTCTCCAAGACGCCCGAACCCAAACCCCCAAAAGGACCCAGAGAGGCCTCAAGACACCCCCCAAGACCGCCCCGAAGAGGCGTTTGACAGAAGATCCCGCGGAGAGCGTCACGACCGTGCCAGCCACCCAGGATAGGCCCACGAGCGACCCCAAGAGGAGACCAGATATGCTCGGCCACACGCGCGCCGAGGCCATTGAGACACACGTGTGCTGGCAGCTTGTCATGCTCCACCCTTCTCGCTCCACCCTTTCTCGCCCCCCCCCGCTCGCTCCTCACCCCTCACATCCCTCTCCTCGCTCGTGGCTCCTCTCCTCTCACCCCTTATCGCTATTTCCCCCCCCCCCCCTCTCTCCTGGCCCCTCGCTTCGCTGGCTATTGGCGTCTACCTCCCCCCTCCTCTTCGACTCTGCATTGTCCCTGGTCGTCTCTTTCTCTGTCTCATCGGCCGTCGCTCCTTCCTTCTCGCTCCGCGCTCCTCGCTGATCACTCCCCGCCTCCCCCACCTTAAGATGCTGACTCCTACTGCTTGCTCCTCGCTCATCGCGCTCCACTTACGATATGAGGTTGCGTCATCCAGCAATGGTAAGAAGCAGCAGCGCCCTGCAGCCTCAGGCAGCAACGACGACCAGCAGCAGTCCGCAGGAGACAACGGCAGCACATCTAAAGCAAGCAGCAGCAGCACTCCGCAGCTGCATGAAGCAGCAGCAGAGGCGACGTTCTGGCCCATCGCCATTACGAAAACATCTGGTCGTCAGCATGTATCGATCCATATATATAATATAAGCAAATAGGCCCCCCCCCCCCCGGCGGGGCCGCCCACTCCGCAACCATCGGGGAACGCTTTTTAATACCCCCTCCCCGGGGCCTCCAAGGAGCCTCCAAGGAGCCTCCAGACGACCCAAGAGGCCTCCAAGACGGCCCCAGGAGGCCCCCAGGATGGTCCAAGAGGGCCCCGAGGCGGTCCCAGATCGCTCCAAGACGCCCAAGATGGTCCCAAGACGGCCCAAGGGGCCTCCAAGACGCCCCAAGAGGCCTCCAAGAGGCTCTCCAAGAGGGCCCCAAGAGGCTCGAATCGTTGATTTTCCATTGTGTTTTTCGATGTTTTTGGCTTTCTCTCCTTTTGGGCTCCCTGGCGCTCCAAGACGGCCAAGAGGCACCCAAGATCGCCCCAAGACGGCCCAAGAGGCCACCAAGACGGCCCCAAGACGGCCCAAGAGCGCCCCGGGACCGCTGAAGAGGCCTCGAAGACGGCCCAAGAGAGTCCCAACACGGCTCCAAGAAGGGGCCCAGACGCGGGATCCGAGCGCACTTCACGGGCCCTCGGCCCCAAGAGCATCCCCAGAAACCACTAGAGGCTCCCAAAGGCCCCCAAGAGCCCCCCGGGAGGCCCCCAAGAGCCCCCGAGCAGGCACCGAAACGAGCCCCATGCGATTTCGGACACTTTCATATGCACCCCTTCTTCCTTCCGATCCGTTCCGTTGAGCTGCCTGCATTGAGTAGCATGTGCCTGCGTTGAGCTGCCTGCATTGAGTAGACCATTGGGAATCACGTCCTGAGAGGCCTCCAAGACGCCCCTACTTCACGATCCATGTCAGGGGTGTGCCGACATGGGCGGGGCGGCAGGATGCGACCCTTGTTTCCGGGGCCGTCGGAACAGCTTCCTTCGGGGCACAAGCTGTGTGCGGAGCGAGTCGAAATACGCGGGGAGACGCTGGGCGAATTCTCCCAACAGAGCCGTGTGAAAGGTGTGCGATAGGCGGAGGGACGCCGTGCTTTTCTGTCCCTGGCACCGTTCGTGGAGTTCTGGGGGGAGGAAGGAGGTGAAGGAGGTGAAGGAACACAAGGAGGGACAGATTGAAGAGAGCGGGGAGGACAGGGAGGAGGAGGAGGAGGTGAATGAACAATGAGTAGGATTCAGGGAGACGCATCAGGGAAGTAAAGAGGAGGAGGAGGGCAAGAGGATAGTATGAAATGGGGAGAGATAACGGAAATGAGGGAGGGGAAGGGGACTGTGGAGTAGACCGATGATGATGACGGCGACGACGCTGATGATGAGGATGACGAGCACAACGACGGCGCCGACGAAGATGATGATGATGATGATGATGATGATGATGCTGATGCTGATGCTGATGCTGACGATGATGATGCTGATGATGATGACGACGACGATGATAGTGAGGACAACGATGACGACGACGATGATGACGATGGTGCTGACGATGCTGACGATGATGGTGGTGATGATGATGGTTGTGCTGGTGATGGTAATGGTGAACACGACCATGACGATGACTACGATGGTGATGATTGCGATGATGACGATGGTGAGGATCCTGGCTAGAACTTGAGCGCGCGCGAAGCGCGCGCGATGGTTCTAGTATATATATATGTATATATATATATATATATCCTTTTGGGCTCCCTGGCGCTCCAAGACGGCCAAGAGGCACCCAAGATCGCCCCAAGACGGCCCAAGAGGCCACCAAGACGGCCCCAAGACGGCCCAAGAGCGCCCCGGGACCGCTTAAGAGGCCTCGAAGACGGCCCAAGAGAGTCCCAACACGGCTCCAAGAAGGGGCCCAGACGCGGGATCCGAGCGCACTTTACGGGCCCTCGGCCCCAAGAGCATCCCCAGAAACCACTAGAGGCTCCCAAAGGCCCCCAAGAGCCCCCCGGGAGGCCCCCAAGAGCCCCCGAGCAGGCACCGAAACGAGCCCCATGCGATTTCGGACACTTTCATATGCACCCCTTCTTCCTTCCGATCCGTTCCGTTGAGCTGCCTGCATTGAGTAGCATGTGCTGCATTTCAATTCACAAGTCCATTGGAATCACGTCCTGAGAGGCCTCCAAGACGCCCCTACTTCACGATCCATGTCAGGGGTGTGCCGACATGGGCGGGGCGGCAGGATGCGACCCTTGTTTCCGGGGCCGTCGGAACAGCTTCCTTCGGGGCACAAGCTGTGTGCGGAGCGAGTCGAAATACGCGGGGAGACGCTGGGCGAATTCTCCCAACAGAGCCGTGTGAAAGGTGTGCGATAGGCGGAGGGACGCCGTGCTTTTCTGTCCCTGGCACCGTTCGTGGAGTTCTGGGGGGAGGAAGGAGGTGAAGGAGGTCAAGGAACACAAGGAGGGACAGATTGAAGAGAGCGGGGAGGACAGGGAGGAGGAGGAGGAGGTGAATGAACAGGGATCCACTTCAGGGAGACGGCATCGAGGAGAAGAAAGAGGAGGAGGAGGAGCAAGAGGATAGGATGATGGGGAGAGATAGAACGGAAATGAGGAGGAGGGGGAGGGGACTGGAGTAGACCGATGATGATGACGGCGACGACGCTGATGATGAGGATGACGAGCACAACGACGGCGCCGACGAAGATGATGATGATGATGATGATGCTGATGCTGATGCTGACGATGATGATGCTGATGATGATGACGACGACGATGGTAGTGAGGACAACGATGACGACGACGATGATGACGATGGTGCTGACGATGCTGACGATGATGGTGGTGATGATGATGGTTGTGCTGGTGATGGTAATGGCGAACACGACCATGACGATGACTACGATGGTGATGATTGCGATGATGACGATGGTGAGGATCCTGGCTAGAACTTGAGCGCGCGCGAAGCGCGCGCGATGGTTCTAGTATATATATATATATGTGTACACATATTTACATGTATGAGCACACATATATAGAGAGCGAGAGAGAGATAAACCCCGGTCCAACGCGCCATCTCGGATAGTTTCCGTGGCCGGTAGGCCATGGGTCTGCCCCCGGTCAGTTACAACGCTGGGATCAGTGCGTGCGAGAAGGGCGAGCAGTGGCAGCGGGCGCTGGTGCTGCTCAGCGAGATGCGGGATGCGAAGCTGGAGCCCGACGTCATCAGCTACAGCGCTGGGATCAGTGCGTGCACGAAACGCGAGCAGTGGCAGCGGGCGCTGGCACTGCTCGGCGAGATGCGTGGGGCGAAGCTGGAGCCCGACGTCGTCCCTTGAAACATTCCGCAATCCCTGCGTGCCAGAAATGCCTGGGTAACGATCGACGGCGAAGAGCCCCCAAAGGGCCCTCGCTGGAGTGAAGGCGATCACTGGATCCATATCGAGCGTCGTCACCGAACCCGCCACGCTGCACGGGGCCATGATGCAGCATTGGTCCCCAGTATTCGCTCAGAGCTGAATCGACGCCAGGGCATCCGCTGGCTTCGCAGACGGCAGGTTTCGCCGCCTGGCGAAACCAGCTGCCGTCGGCGAAACGAAACCACCAGTTTCCGTCGGCGAAACCAGCTGTCGTCGGCGAAACCAGCTGCCGTCGGCGAAACCAGCTGCCGTCGGCGAAACTGCCCGATCCAACCCGCCCGTTAGGATCCGCTCGCCCGACCCGACTGGCCCGTTAGGGTTCGCGCGTGTTCGGTCGAGCGCACCACACACTTTAATGTCCCGCCCGCCCGACCCGACCTGCCCGTTACGGTCCGCCCCCCCGACCCGACCCGACCCGCCCGCTAGTGTCCGCCCGCCCAACCTGACCCGCCCGTTAGGGTTCGCGCGTGTTCGGCCGAGCGCGCCACATACTTTAATGTCCCGCCCGCCCGACCCGACCCGCCCAGAGAGGGTCCACCCGCCCGACCTGACCCGCCCGCTAGTGTCCGCCCGCTCGACCCCACCCGCCCGTTACAGTTCGCGCGTGCTCGGTCGAGCGCGCCCCGCATTTTAATGTTTCGCCCGCCCGAACCGACTCGCCCTTTAGGGTCCGCCCGCCCCGACCCGACACGACCCGACCCGACCCGTCCCAACCCGACCCGCCCGCTGGGGTCCGCCAGCCCGACCCGACCCGCCCGTTGGGGTTCGCGCGTGTTTGGTCGAGTCCGCCCGCCCGACCCGACCCGACCCGTTCGCTAGGTCCGCCCGCCCGACCCGACCTGCCCGTTACGGTTCGCGCGTGTTCGGCCGAGCGCGCCCCACTTTTTAATGTCCGCCCGCACGACCCGGTCCGCCCGTTACGGTCCGCCCGCCCGTTCCGCCCGCCCGACCCGACCCGCCCGCTAAGGTCCGCCCGCCTGGCCCGACCTGCACGTTAGGGTTCGCGAGTGTTCGGCCGAGCGCGCTCCACATTTGAATGTCCCGCCCGCCCGAGCCGAGTCGCCCGTTAGGGTCCGCCCGCCCGACCCGAAACCGACCCGACCCGACCCGACCCGACCCGACCTGCCCGCTGGGGTCGGCCCGCCTGACCCGCCCGCCCGTTACGGTTCGCGCGTGTTCGGTCGAGCGCGCCCCACTCTTTTCATGTCCCGCCCGGCCGACCAGGCCCGCCTGTTACGGTCCGCCGCTCCGACCCGACCCGACCCGCCCGCTAGGGTCCGCCCGCCCGACCAGACCCGTTTGTTAGGGTTCGCGCGTGTTCGGTCAAGCTCGCCCCACACTTCAATGTCCCGCCCGCCCGACCCTACCCGCCCGTGTGTGTCCGCCGCCAGACCCGGACCGCCCCGCCCGCTCGGGTTCGCCCGCTCGAACCGACCCGCCCGTTAGGGTTCGCGCGTGTTCCGTCCAGCGCGTCCCGCATTTTCCATGTCGCGCCCGACCCGACCCGACCTGCTTTCTGGGTTTCGCCCGCCGCCCGACCTGACCAGCCCGCTGGTGTCTCCCGCCCGCTAGGATCCGCCCGCCCGACCAGACCCGCCTGTTAGGGTTCGCGCGTGTTCGGTGATCGATCGTGCCCCACATTTGAATGTCCCGCCCGCCCGATCCGACCCGCCCGTTAGGGTTCGCCCGCCCGACCCGACCCGACCCGACCCGCCCGCTAGGATCCGCCCGCCCGACCAGACCCGCCTGTTAGGGTTCGCGCGTGTTCGGGCGAGCTTCCCACACTTTAATGTCCCGCCCGCCCGACCCGACCCGACCGTTACGGTCCGCCCGTTACTGTCCGCCCGCCCGACCGACCCGCCCTTCCCGCTCGGGTTCGCCCGCCCGACCCGACACGCCCGCTCGGGTCCGACGCCCGACACCCGACGGCGACGACAACGACGACGACGACGATGACGACGACGATGACGACGATAAGCCCGACGACGACGACGAAGACGACGACGACGAAAACGACGACGGCGACGGCGACCGACGTCGACCGCGATAACGCCGTCGGCAAAACCAGCGCCGGCGAAACCAGCGCCGCCGGCGAAACCAGCGAGACGTAACCGGCGGGGCGAAACCAGCACTGGCAAATCCAGCGCCGGCGAAACCACCCGTCGCCGAAACCAGCGGGGCGAAGCCAGCGCGGGCGAAGTCTGCGCCGGCGAAACCAGCTTCTGCCGACGCCAGGTGCTCGGCCGAGTACTTGGATGCAGTCCCCCCCCGGGCGCCCGCTCGCTGACCTGGGTCCAACTGGCCCGGACGAGCCCGAGCTCCCAGAAACGCTCCGGGAACGTCCAGAAGCCCCAAGAGACCTCCACCGGGCCTCCGCAGCGGCCCAAGAGAGTCCCCCGACGCGGCTGCAATGAATCCCTGGGGCTCCTGTATACTCCGCTTCGTCGTCGTGGTGGTCGTCGTGGCCACTGCGATCGTCGTCGTCGTCGTCGTGGTCGTGGTCGTGGTCGTGGTCGTGGTCGTGGTCGTGGTCGTGGTCGTGGTCGTGGTCGTGGTGGGTCGTCGTTGTCGTCGTCGCCGTCGCCGTCCTCGTCCTTGTCCTCGTGTAGATGTCCCCCCGCACAGCAATTCGAACGACGGTCAAAAAGGCCGCGATGTGGCGCCGATGTAGCCCCAAACTGCTCCAAGGTGGTTCCGCGCAGGGCCCGCAGGAGTGAAATATCGTCAGACACCAGTTGGTATCCCCATGCCTTCCTCCTCCTCTTCATCCTCCGTTTTTCCCCGTGCACAACCTTTTTCCCGACCATCTTGTGGTGTTGAGTCCTCCTTTTGAAGAGACGTCGCCCCGCATTCCTCTCCTCCTCCTCTCCTCCTCCTCCTCCCCCTTCCTCTCTCCTCCCGTCATCATCATCACCGTCACCGTCATCATCATCATCATCATCATCATCATCATCATCATCATCATCATCATCATCATCAGCATCAGCATCAGCATCAGCATCATCATCATCATCATCAGCATCATCATCAGCATCAGCATCAGCATCAGCATCAACATCATCATCGTCATAAACATCATCATCATCATCACCATCATCATGAGCATTATCATCATCACCATCAGCGTCATCATCATCGTCATCATCATCATCACCATCATCATCATCATCATCATCCTCATCATCATCACCGTCATCATCATCGTCATCATCACCACCGTCATCATCACCAGCATCATCACCCATGTCGGCACACCCCTCACACGTTTCGTGGCCCCATAGGGAGCTCCACCGAAGGCCCCAGTGCCACCGCCCGCATGCGTCCCCCGCACACATTTCGGCATACTCCTCACAAATTGCGTGGCCCCATAAGGCCCCAGTGCCACCGCCCGCATGCGTCCCCCACACCCATGTCGGCACACCCCTCACAAATTTCGTGGCCCCATAGGGAGCTCCACCGAAGGCCCCAGTGCCACCGCCCGCATGCGTCCCCCACACCCATGCCGGCACACGTTTCGTCGCCCCATAGGGAGCTCCACCGAAGGCCCCAGTGCCACCGCCCGCATGTGTCCCCCACACCCATTTCGGCACACCCATCACACATTTCGCGGCCCCATTGGGAGCTTCACGGAAGGCCCCAGCGCCACCGCCCGCTTGCGTCCCCCACACCCATTTCGGCACACCCCTCACACGTTTCGTGGCCCCACAGGGAGCTCCACCGAAGGCCCCAGTGCCACCGCCCGCATGCGTCCCCTACACGAATTCCAGCAAGCCCCATCACACGCTGCGTGGCCCCATAGGGAGCTCCACCGAAGGCCCCAGTGCCACCGCCCGCATGCTTCCCCACCACACACATTTCGGCACACCCCTCACAAATTTCGTGGCTCCATAGGGAAGGCTCTGGTGGCCGAAAGCCCCAGTGCACCGCCCGCATGCGCCCTGCGCCCCCCCCCCCCACACACTACACCACACAATTCTGCACACCCCTCACACTTTTCGGCGGCCCCATAAGGGAGCTCCACCGTAGCCCCAGCGCCACCGCCCCATGGCTCCCCCACGCCCATGCGTCACACCCCGCACACGTTTCGTGACTCGAAGTGAGCTCCCACCGAAGGCCCCAATGCCACCAGCCCGCGTGCGTTTCCCCCCCCCACACACATGCGTCACACTCCTTAAGAAAAAACGTTCAGTGGCCCCATTAGGGAGCTCCCCGAAGTCACCATTGCCAAAACCCCCGCATGCGTCCCCCACAAACCCAATTCGGCACATCCTTCGCACGTTTCGTGGCCCCTATAGGGAGCTCCCCCCGAAGGCCCCATGCCACCGCCCGCATCGTCCCCCCCCCCACAACACCCAATGTCGGCACACCCCTCACACGTTTCGTCGCCCCATAGGGAGCTCCACCGAAGGCCCCAGTGCCACCGCCCGCATGCGTCCCCCACACACACATGTCGGCACACACTTCAAAAATTAGCCTGGCGAAGGACCCAACCATATGCAGTTGAGAGTACCGCAATTTTGAATATCTTCTTCGGTGGCGCTCCCTATGGGGCCACGAGCCGTATGAGGGGTGTGCCGACATGCGTGGCAGTGTACACAACACGAACGAAGACAATAGGTCCGAATATGAAAGCTTGAGCGCGTGCGAGTCGGATCGCGAGTGAGTCTGATTATGAATGAATCTGCGCGCGATTGATTCTATTCGCATGAATGCGTGCATGGATACGCCCAGTGTAAATGTATGTATACGACTGTGAACAGTTTGGTCTGCGTGACTCTCGGTACTCGTGACTCTGAGCGTCGCCTCTGCAGGGGGCTTCCCTGGGAACCCCGACGGCAGCGCCCGCGCGCCGCGACGCCCATGTCGGCACGCCGCACACCTGGTGTGCGGGACGCATGCGGACGGCAGCA